AGGACACTGAACTATGCCTTTGACAAATCTTAGACATCCTGAAGTCATTGTGTAGAGATACACAATATGTGTACTAATCGGATATCATCAATTGTAATATATAGTTATATATGATGAATTTGATACAGTGGGAGCGCAAGCTTTCGCAATCATTAAGTCTTTTTTTTTTCACGTATTTTAGTGGACAAGAAAATTTAACTCGAGGCGTGCACACATTAGGAGAAACCATTTGGTAACAATACTTCCCTGACCCTTTTTGCTGGACCTGTTTACATCGACTCGGTCTCCACGATGCACTTCACTATTCATTACTCTTTCTGTCTTTAGAAGACCGTTGTTTTTGTTTTTTAATCTAGCCAAAGACATATATTAAGTAAAATGTTAAATATCTTTCATTATGTGGAGAGAAAATTAAAAATGTAGAGAAAATGAGAAGAACTAGGGACTACTATTATAGTTCAATGGTTAAAACAAGAAGAAAAAGTAGTATTAAAAATGTGACCCAATCTAAAACTAAAGTTTTTGTGGGAAGAATCTTAGGCTAAAACAATAATCTTTTAGGGATGGAGGGAGTAACATATTTATATAACTTCTTTAAATGTTAAAATACACATATTTGTATATATTACTCCCTCTGTATTTTAATTTTAATGTATGACACCGTTGACTTTTTAATCAACGTTTGACCATTCGTTTTATTCAAAACTTTTGTGCAAATATGAAAATATTTATGTCATGCTTAAAGAACATTTGATGATGAATCAAGTCACAATAAAATAAATGATAATTATATAAATTTTTTGAATAAGACGAATGGTCAAACGTTAGATAAAAAGGCAACGACGTCATACATTAAAATATGGAGGTAGTAATTATTTTGAATTTGAAATATTTAACTGCAAGTGTCTTAATTAGGAAATCATCTAATTATACTATCTAATTAAGAATGAAGGGATTACACATGGACCTCTTTGTGTATGAAATCCTAATCCAGACATAAGAAAACATATACTCCTAGTATGTATATGTAGGTGTACTTACAGGCTGTAGCTAGGACGGAAAACCTTTGCTAGGTTCTTAATTACTCCAACGAAAATCCCTAGGAAATTAAGTGGCTAAAGTCCAAACTGAAACATGTGCATATGAACTTGCAGGATAATTACACACGGCCGGCGGCGCAGGTGGGCGCACACATCGGCTTGCACAAAAGGCCACGCTTGCTTAGCCAACAGCTTATAAACTGATGGATGCTAGTAGCAGCTCACAGCAAGCTACTCTGGCTTCCTAGTTCCTACCAAACTGGAGTAGTAAGCATTTCTAAGGCTTAAATTTATACCACGATATATAAGCATGATTCCCATTATATATTTCAATAATTTCAAACTTAATCAAATTAGCTAACATTTTAAAAGGGAATCTCAGTAATTTAAATTTGAAAAATTAACAACTAAATTAAGTGACTAAAATGAAATCTTTTGTCCTAAATCTTAGTATATTTGCTAAATAATCTAAAAACATTTATACTATTTTGAAACAGAAGTACAGTAGTAGTGTTGAAGTGATTAATTATGTCCACATGCTTTGGCTTTGCCATTTTTTTTGTTCTCTCTCCGACGTAAGGGTTTCGTCCGTTCGCTGAGCTCATTAAAACGCGGAAAGGGCCGGGGATTGAAGATTCCTGCCACGCGGTCGGCCCTTCCACGTTGCTTCGCCAATGGGAGCCCCTCCTCTGACTTCACCCTTTGTTTTATCCCCACTAAGAAACGGCTTTTCACTTGTTTTTGTCTCAAAGATAGTTAAGCTTTTTGGTGTGTGATTAATTAAGAAAGATGATCATAAGGTTGGGTGAGACGATGACTTAAAGTTGTAGGCTTTTTTTCCATCTACAGATATATATATACATATAGTATATAGTACTGATCTGATAGTGTCAAATTATTGGTGTGTATTTGTAAATATATATGTTTATCTGGAGTACATGCATGGCTCAAACAAAGACATTGGTTCTCCTTTTTTTCCCGGAAAGTAAGGAAAATTAGTTCCTAAATGAAAGACGATGAAACCCCTTTTTTTCCAAACCGTTTGTAACACATCCATTTTATGATTTTAACGCGTCTTCCCATGAAGTTTTCTTGCAGTGAGACGGTCAATATCGACTGGTTGCATATAGGCAATTAACATTTGTTTTGTTTCAAAGATTGTCCCAGAGTACTGATAGTAACAGTCTAGTCTCATCGATCCCGTCAAACATGCAGCAAAGATAGTGATTGATTCTACTACAAGAACACAGTGTTTTCCTTGTAATGAAAAACGAAATACTGAGGAAATTTAACGAGCTTGAAAGCTCAATCACTACCATGACTAGCGAGCTAATCCTGAGGGTGGTAATATTTTCTGTCAACAGACCAGATTGGGACTAATAACGGCGCAAGCAAATGATGGTTGAAATAATTAAATATGAACATGGCATGGCCACTTGCAAGCATATAAAAATCACTGTATATTATCAGCAACATGGCTGCTGATGAGATATACTATTCATTATCATATGGAAATGATACCTGTGTGGCTAAACGACAGCTCTGATTATACTATCTCGATCTGCTTCTTGGTGCAGTTAGTTAAATCTGTTTTTAGAAAAATATTGTACATCATCCATTGGATCAATAATTAGCTAGTATGCATGCATGAGCAGCAGCTGCAGGTTCATGATTTCCTTTTCGATCATGCAAAGGGCAGAATTGAACTAGTCAACATCGATAGAAGATTATGGACCAGCAGTCGGCATCCTTAAAAATCCCCATATCAGGTTGAGTTTAATTTACTTGTCGACGAGCCTTAATTTAGTACGCATGGTTACTTGTAAATAAGTGTTATTTGAATGTGTTTGACTCGTCTATAGAGAGTACTAGGATTTGGCGCGCACACATTTGAAATTTTGTAGTAATATTTGCCCATATCAGAAAAAAGGATATTTGGAAAAATCGTGTGAAGTTTTTGTAAAAATTCCCATGTTTTAAACCGGGTTAGTTTTACATTAGTGATATGTTGTGCTGCTTTGCTTTCATGGTTATTTCTAGCTTATGCAGAAATAATTCGTTCATTGTTTTAATTCCACGCGTACCATATATATATATATATATATATATATACAACAAAAATATTTTGGGTATCAATAAATTTCCTTTTTCTTTCCGCTCTAATCAACAAATCAACAATGAACTGATCATATATTAGTACATTTCCAAAAGGTACTACTTAATTATAATTAGTAGTGCACATGCGTTTCTATCATATATACTACCCTACGTTTCAATATCAATTCTTTTAAGCATCACTATCTGAATGACATTAGCCTTCGTGCTCATGATACAGCAACATCAGGCGGCCGGCCAGGTGTACATTCCAGATGCCATACGTATACATAACTTCAATAAGATCCTCTTCATTTTCAAAAGGTACAATTTACCTGCCCTTAATTTGGAATAAACACTAGGCACAGTAAGTGTAAAAGAGACAAGAAATGAGGAAAAAAAAGCCTCCACTGATTTTCATACGGACAATGAATGAATGGACGCAGTACTTTCAGTGTGAAACAGAGTGAAATGATAGCAACTGAAGGTCTTAGAGAAACAACCCAAAAAAAAGCACCATGCAACTAACAAAGCTACTAGCATTTTCTTTAAGAAAAAAAAAACGAGCCAGTAGCACATATACCGACCAGAGCACTTGAAAGAGATGTATGTCTAACTGAAACAGCATGAAAATATTCCCAATATGAACTGGACAGCGTCGCAATATGTCACATATATAGGCTTTTAGCGTTCGTCGTTTGTATATCGAATAACCTTTTTCTTTTAGATGTGATGCCACCAAAAAACAAAAAAACAAAGACAAGAGATTTGAGTAGTGGCAAAGGGCTGTGTGTACGTGTCCACGTAGAATCGTATAATATCATCAGTGAACTTCTCGCCCAAGTAAATTAACTAGCCTTAGTTTAGCTATTTTGGACTTTAGTCCTCCTCCACACTTAATTTACATTATCGAGTTGATTGTGGTATCTATGCAGCATATATCAAATTTTCACCTGAAAAATATATAAAACAATAATTTAGGCTCCTATCGAATAGCCTATTCAGCCAAAGAAAAAGCCAAAATTTGAATTTTCAAACTTAATTTTGATATTTATTTTGAGGTATTTTCAACGTAGTTTCTTTTTCAGCATTGGCTTTTAAGTCACCGAGAATATATATATAAAAGTTTTACCTACAAATTTATTTTTATTCTCTAATAAGCCGTTTTGGCTTATTAAAAGAAAAGCCAAACGATGGGGCCATTACATTATCGAGTTGATTGTGGTATCTATGCAGCATATATCAAATTTTTACCTGAAAAATATATAAAACAATGACAAATAATTTACGGACAACCAATGTCATTTTGTGCATAGGTTCAAGCTCACAAACATATGTGCTAATACAAAACTATCTTCCACATAATTTAATCCATGGTTACTTTGTAGCTGACATTTTAATTACAAACCATCTCCGAAACATCCAGAAATAAAGTAGAACAGACAAAAGTATTTCCACCAACATATATATATATATATACACATTTGATTTGCACTTGATAGTGCAGTTGCAAGAGGTGTGTGGTTTTAACATCGAGATCGCATGTTCAATCCCCAATACACTTACATTTTCTTTTTAAAACATATTTAGAGGTACAAATCTCCCTTCAAATCTAGTTTTTTTTTTATTTGATGTTGTTCCAAACCAAAGTGTCCAAGCTGACGCTTTTGGGTACAACCCTCCACTAATCTAAAATTTGTTTAATGGATCATTGCATCACCCCAACACTGTCCACTAGCTAAGCTAATGTAGCTTAGCCCGATCGATCCGACATGGCGTTGGCCAATCAAATCCAAAGAACCCCCTCTCGCCGTCGCCATCTAGTTCTCTCACCGGTCAAAATCCTCTTCTCCCCCACTCACCACCAACGCGCTTCTTCTTCACCTCTCCAATCCCCTTCTTCTTCTTCTTCTTCTTCTTCTTCTTCTTCTACCTCTCGATCCCCTCCTCCCCTCCTCTTTATAAGCTCGAGCTCCCCTCGCAGCTGCGCCTCACTCCACATGCACTCTCGCCATCTCGATCTTTTTACCCAATTCTTGATCACTCTTCTTGGTCGTTCTTGCCATTCTTGTACCGCGAAGCGAGCTTAGCTGCAACCTGCAAGATCGAGCTAGCTAGCTAGCAATTTATCTAGGTTGGTGAGAGCAGGAAGAGATCGATCAAGGGTTGAGGGGTGATGGAGAGCATGGAGGGCAATGGAGGAGGGCGGCTGGTGGTGACGGAGCTGAGCCACATCAAGGAGCTCGTGAGGCAGCTGGAGGGACACCTGGGTGGCTCCGGCTCCCCCGACCTCTGCAAGCACCTGGCCTCGCAGATCTTCTCCGTCACCGAGCGCTCCATCGGCATGATCAGGTCCGGCCACTTCGACGGCCACCGCAAGCGCTCCGCCGCCGCTGTCGCCGCCGGTGACCTCGACTCGGCGACTCCCAGCCCCCTCAGCGACGTCTCCGACTTGCCTTTCAAGGCCACCAAGAAGAGGTGAATATATACAAAGATTAATTGTTCATGTTCATTTTTAGCTGAATTTTTGGGGGAATGATTGATTGAGTTTAATTTTTTGTTTGTTTCGAATTTTTTTGATTGATTTTTGCAGGAAGACGTCGACGGAGAAGAAGAGGCATCAGATTAGGGTGAGCTCGACGGGAGGGGTGGAGAATCCACCGGTAGATGATGGCCATAGCTGGAGAAAGTATGGGCAGAAAGAGATTCTTGGAGCCAAGCACCCAAGGTTGGTATTTTTCTGATTTCCCTCTACTTTTTCCCCCCAATATTTCAGTACAAAAAAGGTGTTTGTTTCCACCTTTTTCATAGCCTAATCTGCACATGCGTTTTTCATAAGCTTTGTGCTGTGGCATCATCAAAGATATATCTGCTTTGCTTTCCTGCTTGGTTTGGTTGTTTGTGGCTGTCTTTTCTTTATCATGGTGAAAGCAGCTGCAGCCTTTCCTCTGTTCTCAAATGCTTGGACTCCACCTGTCAGAAATTCAGATAGGATCATAGGACCACCTGTTTGTTTGCATGCATCTAATTGGATGTGTTGTCAAATAATCCTGCCAATTAGTTTGATTGTTTTCGAAATCACACAAACTTTTCTGAAGAATTTTAAGAATCTTTGATCGATTGCAAGGTTTCTAAAAACATTTTTTTTCAGGGGTTACTACCGTTGCACCCACCGCCACTCGCAGGGATGCATGGCGACGAAGCAGGTGCAGCGCACCGACGAGGACGCGACGGTGTTCGACGTGATCTACCACGGCGAGCACACGTGCGTCCACAAGGCGGTGGCCGCCGGCGCCGGCAAGCCGGAGACGGAGACGGACACGAACGCCGCCGCCGAGAGCCGCCTCCACGACCTGAGCTCCGGCCTGACGGTGAAGATCGAGGGGCTGACGGCGCCGCCGCAGCAACAGCAGGGCGGCGGCGGCTGGAACGCCATGCCGCCGTTCTGCCTGTCGTCGCCGGTGAGCGGCCTGGCGCCGCCGGATCAGCACAACCCGTTCTCCGCGCCGTCGACGCCGGAGAACCGCCTCGCCGCCGCCGCGTCGTCGGCGGCCTCGCCGGCGACCTCCGACTCGATGGCCGCCGCGCCGTTCCACCAGGCGGCGGCCGGCGGCGGCGATGAGGCGTGGCGGGACGCCGAGCTCCAGGAGGTGGTGTCCGCGCTCGTCGCCGCGACGACGACGACGGCGACCGCGCAGCCGGCGCCCGCCACCGCCATGGTCGACGCCGACCTCTCCGCCCTCGACGCCTTCGAGTTCGACCCCGGATTCACCATTGATATCACCAGCTTCTTCGCATGAGATTATGAACAGAACCAGATCAATGGTGACCAAACTCAACCCAATCCAATCCAATCCAATCCAACCCGATCCGATCCTCACATAGCTGATGAACACTAGAGAAGCAGTTCATGGTGACCACCCTCTGTTCTTTAGCTGTTGCCATGAAAGAACAGAGGAGGGAAGAAGAGCAGAAGCTTTCTTCCTAGGTCAATAGAGATGAGAAATAGTAGTACTAGTACTTAATTTTTCTCTCTTTTTTTTCCCCAAATGAGAGTGTTTCTTTGTATTATTATTAGTATTATTATTATTGATTTGTGTCAAGGAAAATAAGATCTTGATCATGTTCTGAGCATCCAAAGAATATAATTTTGTCAGCAGTTTTATACTCTTGAAGTACAATATCATGATTCTCATCAGGACAAATGAACCAAAATAGTTGTACAAACTCTTGATTTTCTCATCAGGAAAAATGGACTAGATCTTGAAAAAAAATATTCTTATTGTAGCCACCCAGATTACTTCACCAACACAAGCATGAGCACATGAAAATTCCAAACGTGTTTCCTGAAACCCAATAGCCGTGTAATCCTCAGACACGACCAGGGGGAGAATTGGACCAAGTAAAAAATGCATATCATTGTCATTGTAGTAGAAACAATAAATACAAAAGTTGGCACATTTCGTTGTCTTATCTGAGAAAGTTCCATAAATCTAAGGAAACATATCTTTTCAAAGAGATAAATCGACGAAAACATTGAGATTGAACTCACATAAATATAGTCCATATGGTCCAAACACTGCTACTAGTAAGAGTGCCAGGTCAAAGATGAAATGAGAACCACAGAGCTTGGGGCCAGTCCTCATCACAGGCAGGAGACAGTTTCATTCCTTCAAGGAACATCCGTGGAACGCAAGGGTTCACATTTGGGAGATTCCTGAGCCTCTCATCTCTATCATCATCAGTCCTTCAGTTTGCCGATGCAGAAATCTTCGATGATCTCGAAGACTCTAAAGCCATGTTGCGGTCTGAAAAGCGCGTAAGAGTTATTTTATTTACCTGAGTCATAAAAAAATGACGCGTACAACACTTGTGAAAGTGAAAAGGGGAATCAGTAAAAGCAAAAATCAGAATTTGCGGTCTTGAGAATGATATGAGAAGAAAGATCCCCTTCAGTGTCGCAGTTGAGAAAGTAACACTACCCTTTGGAGCATCCATCATCTAGATTTTCTTTTTGGTTCTTGAAATGGTCAATGTTAAATGTATTAAAATCAGTAACATCCACATGTCCCTAAAATCACGGATATGGATTTATGGGTGTATGTCGCTGAGCATAAATAGTTTCAATGATGACAAAAATACATGACCAGTACTCAAACACAGGAAACCATTGCACAATACCATTGGAATACACCAGAAAGAATGGAAATTCATTGACAGGTAAAATAAGAGCGTAATTGCCTTTGCTTGTTGCTGTTACAGAAAATTATAAATGTCATTAGCAACATTTACTATGTTAGTCAATTGAGTAATTTCGATGGAGTAAACAGGGATCCATAAGTCTAGCCCTGTCAATTAGTAAGTTACTATAAAAACTAAATTAGATTTCACCTCGGAAAAGATGCAGCAAAGTAACATGAGACACTTCTGCGATTCATGCTAAAGCAGCAACATAGTATTATGCTCCAGAAAAGATTCAAGAACAATATTGACATAGTATGGTATAATTGAGGTGATAAGATACAGACCCCAAAAATCCCTCTGTTGAATCACCACCGGCATTGTTTAGAATTTCATCACCACCTGGATGTTCCTCCACATAAGAGGTTACGTCATACACCTGGATCAATCACGAAATCAGCAATCATCAGACAAAATAGTGCAAATTTTCCAATTTCAAACTTCATAGTTTTGTTACACAAAATCAATTGCAAAACTGGAATATCATCTTCTTCCAACCTTGTCCTTGACTATGATCCAACAATCCTTCCTTGTGTTGTGAGTCGATACCTCTTTCTTTGTATAGCTCCTAAATTTCTGAATGTGAAATTCCATGGGCAAATAGTGAGAATGGAGTGTACTTTTAATGAACCAACAATGAGTCAAGTGTATCCTTAGATCAATAAACAGAAAGCTTATTCTGAATTCTGAAGCCTCATGGTGTTTTTTTTTTTTTTGAGATAAATCTTTTTGTTAAATAAAATTACATGTACAACTTTTACAGAAAACTACACTATCCAAATATAGAAAAAGAAATTCACCATTCCACCGTTTGGTGATTGTATTTCCTTCCCTTTACCTGCATTACATTAGTCAGTGCCAATTAGTTTAAAGCAACTAAAACTAAATATTGCAATTGATGCAACTTTTACCATTGTTGTTGGATTTTGGAATAACAAAGATGGCTCCTAGTACAAGAAGCAAAACGAGTGAGATGACTAGAATAACTTCCATTGAGCAACTCACGAATTAATTACTGAACTGGGTAATACTCTGCACATCAAAATAGAATTCAATCAGCAAGATTACAGCAAGGTGCTGTTCACTAATAAAGTTGCAGTAACCAAAGCAATCACAGAATGCAAGTCTGAAATGATCTTAACATTTAATATCTCTAAAAGAAATCAGAAGAAAGGACGGTTACAGCATCGAGAGTACAGTAAACTCTGAGAATACACAACAAATTAGATCTTGCATGATAATGGCTACAGGCTAATATCTACATCAAATCAAGGTGGCCTAACAACTGCAGCCAGATAATGCTAAGAGCTAAAAACCTAAAACATCAAATGATTCTTCAGTGATAGCATCTACTGAAAACACAATCTTTCAAAAGGAGGAGCACTTTCAGCAACAAATCACCACTTGGGATATGTACCCAGCACCATCTATAGAAAGATCGAACATTTCCCACTAATACGGTAATACCCCACTTAAAATTTGAGCATGTTCCAAGAAATTTGATGAAATCGATTTGGGCCAATATCATTGGAATAACAAAGATGGCTCCATGTGACACTTACAAGAAGCACAATAAGTGGTATGACGATATTATTGACCTCCGAAATTAATTACTGAACTACGTATATTAACTGGAGCAGTGCTCTGCACAACAAACTTGACTCGAATCAGAGTGGCAGCAGGCAGTACACTGATAATGTGTTAATGATTGTGAGGCATATCACTGATAAAATTTACAAGAACGAAACATTCATACAGTAAGTATGCAATCTTCTATCTATCTATCTATCTATTATCTATTATATACTAAAAGTCAATTAAACTTCCTACAAACGCTCCTAAACCGCCACATGGCATGCTACAAACGCTCATAGGCTGCCACTTGGCATTATCAAATCTCACCGTCGATTTTCACTTAAATTGGTGGACCCGTTATTTTATACCATTGGATTATATCTATTATTAAAAAATTTCAACTTTCTCTGTATATGATTTAAGAGCTACTACTGTTGTCATGTACGTACAGGTTTATACGATGTCTTCTCCCGTACGTACTTATGTGCACAAAAACAAAACAATAGTTTACGTACTATTCGCTGGAAAGAAAAGAAAAAAACCATGCGCATATACATAAAAAAGACGACAAAAAAATACATCATAAAAATCGATGATCTTTAAATAAAATATGATTTTCTAAAATATATTACATCACAAATATAAATATATATAGTTAAACTAAGATCTATAATAATAATATAAAATATCCAACCAATGTTCCTTGAACCATCTTCTAAATTATTTTTAAATTATATATCTAATTTCTGATTCCGTTGTTTTCCTTTAATTAAATTATAAGTTATATTGTGGTCTTAAATATATCACGACACATGGGGCTGATATATAATAGTTAGTTTTTGATAATCTATTATATACTAAAAGGCTATTAAGCATCCTTAAAACATTCTCAAACCGTTATATGGCATTCTACAAACACTCTCATCTCACCATGTATCACTCTAGAAAAATTATAGAAAAAACAAAACATCTAGCCATCGATTTTCACTAATATACGGTGCACCCGTATTTTCTACCCTCGGATTTCCTTAAAGAAAAAAAAAAAGAAAGACCCACACCCCACCGCTTCCATCCATTACGTTACGTTAGGTATATGTACGTAGTTACGTACTCCCTCTGTTTCACAATGTAATTTATTCTATCATTTCTCACATTCATATTGATGTTAATGAATTTAGACATATATATTTATCTAGATTCATTAACATCAATATGAATGTGAAAAATGCTAGAATGACTTACATTGTGAAACGGAGGAAGTATCATATATCCCTGCCCTCACCCTAATATATAAGGGCAACATGCCCTCCTATTTTCAAGCATTTTCTTAATTAATATTGGAAAACATACTTTGTAATAAATTATTTTAAACAACTATATCATCTAAATAGCTATTTTTTATCCGTGCATGGGACGAGATTATTTACAATAAAATTTAGAATTCAATACCTACATTAAATATATTTTAAAAGTAAAATAAATGTATTTCTTTGGGTCATATAATGCTAGAGACTACCTATTGGTCACTCGATATATATTAAGAAAAATCACATAGATTTTTAAACCATATGAGTGGCAACATTTTGCTTATATTAGTAAATACAACACCCGACACATTTTCTAATAGGTCTAAAATTATATCTATATTTTAAAAATAGATAACTAAAGACTACGACCCGTTGGAATATGCCTCAGAAAAAAATTTCCGTCCCTTGTCCTGCTGTACATATACCTCCTTTGATCCTCTCGCCTTATTATTTTTAACTAACAACCTAATATTTAAAAAACATAGCTAAATGACTTATAATTTCTAAAATTATATTTGATTTTTAATTTGTTTTAATTATTGTTTTATTTACAGTTAATTAAATAATTCAATATCCATTATAGTTGTATTTTACTATATAGAAATTAAAATACTCCTATGCAGGGCAACTGAATGAAATTGAAAAATTATAACAGAATGAAAACATGTATTATTTCATATTAAACAATCTACGCAATAAAAACCAAAACCAATTAAAGACCTTTAGAGCACACTTAAGTCACCATATGTCACATTTTAAAATTATAAAATATTTCATTTAAATCGATGGACCCATTATTTTCAACCATTAGATTTAATTTACGAAAAATCTTACGCTGCCACGCGTCATGTCCTGAAAATCATAAATAATCTTAAAAATTTTGAGAAAAAATTAAACCTATCATCATTGGTTTTAAGTTACATTATTTGGAGAAGTTATAAAAATAAATCGCATCTACCTCCTCGCCCCCTTCACATGCGCGCAGACCACTGCCAATCCCATCCCTATTTTTGGGTAGGAGTAAACTAAAAGAGAAATAATCAATATGTTAAAACAACCATAGTTTTTAAGCTACATGTCTGATTTCTAATATAATTATTGCTCTATTTATAATTAAACTAGGAATTTAAGATCCGTATCCTTATATTTTCCTATATACAAAATATGGCATTCGACCACATTGTTGACGACAAACCCAGAAGTAAGATTTAGGATCTGCACAGGAGTTAAGCAGATCTCCTAGGCCAGTGTGTGTTTTTCACATCAACACACATTCAGCCCATGTGCTTTGCATACCATCCAAATATGATTCAAATACCTTAAACAAGTTGGCTGCACATATTACATCACTATACATCATTCTGCAAACATGTATAGCTAAATTAAATCAATAGTTATCCAAACAAAAATTACAAAGTGAACTATGAAACATTTTTTTTATTAAGGGAGAACACCCTGCCCTTTTACGTGTGATTTGAATTGCTGTAAAAGAATTACGAAATAATCCAATACAGGTTGCATCATCATATGTTGTTTGTCAAACATGCATAGCTAAATTAGATATACATTGTCTCAGCAAATACAACTAACTAAAATATGAAGTCCAAACCACCAATGCATAGAAAATCCAATGGCTTTAGTTAGAGAAAATCCGATTACTTCATGATTTTTTTAAAAAATATGTGCTAAAATAATCCAAGCAAGCTAAATGATCTTCCGTGTATTTGCTTTAAACTATGTTACCATCTAATTGACTTTAGATGGTGCTTAATGCACTTTTAGTATATCATTGATATATGTTCAAGCGTGTTGTTTTGGCCTTCTAAGCATTCTGGGTAACTCCGTTTATTTTCTTTGCTCATAGACCATTCAAAAGGTGAATCATCCCTATATATAAACATTAATCATCTGCAAATATATTTTGTTGTATATATATACTTAAATGATTAACTTTGGAGTCCATTTAGATTTTATGATATAACAAGACATGGAAATATTAGTAACTAAGCTCCACCAAAAATGTGATCACAACTGCGATGAATCACAAGGCAACCTCTGTAGGTGCAATGACCACATCTCAACACGGTGACTAGGAGCTGCATAAAACCGTATGGCGGGGGAAAAGGAACAATGAATTTAGCTAGGTCTTACATTTTCATCAATAGGGCCCATAGCATTCAACAAACAAAGAAAAAAAACACCTTGCTTTTAATTAAATAAACATGTTTTCTAAACAAACTAGGTCTAACTCCTTTTTAGATGATGATGAAGATTATATATAATTGCTTATACATATTAATTAAATACTATATAGTATATAGCATAGAGAAATTATCAAAGTGATGCAACGAAGAATATTTGCTGAGGAAATGCACTTCCAAAACATGGCGGAGGCTCTCTGATAAATATGATCCATTTTCAAATACAGTGCACGATACATGCCCGCGCGAATGCGCGGGCTACCTTCCTAGTTATCTTAATGCGTCTAATCTGAAAAGAATAAAACTAAAAGATGGACAGTTACTGCATCGGAAGTACACTAATCTCTGGATGTAGTAAAGAAATTTGACCTTTGCAAAATATAATAACCGCAGCCTGCCTCATTCTAGTACATAATCAAAGTGGGCATGCGAATCTAAAAAGAAAAAAAAAGGGTATCCTTGCAAATCCCAGCAGAAAATCAGACAATGCGTCGCAAACAGGTGAAAAACGGCATCATTCTCATGCCAGAATATACTGAAAACCCGAATTTTAGTTCAGACCGGGTCCTCAAATCTGAGGCGGTTTTCTGCAACGAATCAACTCTTGCGCGCAATCATCCTACCGCCGACTACTGAAAGACCACAGATCTCTCCCACTATTTCCCCACCGAGATCCACGAAGTTGGCGCCTGGCAATCCGCATTAATCCCTCGCCATAGGACGCAGCAAAAACTACAGGAACAGAATGCAGTAGGGAGCATGGAAAGTTCTAGAAGCGCACCTGGAGAGGAGAGCCCGCAAGAAGAGATTACCAGTGGAGCTTAGCTGACTGAGAGTGAGTGAGTGAGTGAGTGAGTGCGCAACCACCAACTAGGTACAGAATCTGGATTTAGACCCCCTGAAGAGGACTCGTTTAATATTCCCAATCGGACTAAACAAGAGTGTCTTCTGATGTCGCCATGGCCGGAGCTCCCTGCATCAGCCAATGCGCCAGCAGAAAACAGAATAAACTGAAATGGTGACAGCAGAAGAGGCTCAGCTCATATGATGAGGGGATCGTGGGGTCCGTTTCTTTGATCTGAACTGGGTACTGCTCGAAACCAGCGGATCAGTAACCGTGGCCCCCGGTTTCATGGGCACGATTGTGTGGGCAGTTGGAATGTTGGGATCTTGCTGAATAAAGAACAGGATCAGTATTGAGGCTTGACAGTTGAGAGGATGGGCCTCTTTGGGTAATCAGCCATTTGTCCTCAGTCTCAAAATAGGTACAGCTATGGATTTTTTTTCGGTTTTAGATTTTTTTTTAATATTTACAGAAATAATCTATGGACAAAAAAAAATTGCAGAAATAGCCCCTGCCGCCCACCTCTGGGGCGGCAAGCTGACGTGGCAAACGGGGGAGGAACGGGTGGTGACGGAGGGAGGGTTTTTTGCAGGAAAACCCTTGCCGCCCTCTGGTGGGGCGGCAAGGGGCCCGAATGCAAAAAAGCCAGTCGGGGCCGGCTATTTTGCAGGCGGCCCCTTGCCGCCCTCTGGCCGGGCGGCAGGCCTCGCTGCCTATAAAAGGCCTGCTGCCCAGCCCCCAGCCCTCATTCTTCTCTCCTCAATTCCAGTGAAAAAAAAAGAAGAGAGGGGAGGAGAAGAGAAGAAGGGGCGAAGCCCTGCCGGATTCAGACGCCGATTTCAGGTAATATTCATAGATCCTATATGTGACTATTGAGTTAAATAGTGTGTATTCTTTAAAAATTTGTTTGAATAAATGCATTATATTTTTAGGGTTTTAGTTGTACTAATCTAGAAGTGCGTATTGTAGATATCGGTAACTACGTAGATCTGCTAGTTTGGAATTAATACATTACCGTTGCATTGGCTTACACAAGAAGATGTTACGTTGTAGATGTTTATTGCATGAAAGAGTAATATGATCTAGTTATTTCGTTGACAGATATGTCGAACAAACAAATATTCCAAGTTTACCATGGACCAGGAAACGTCCGTTACGGGCCAACTGGGGTAGATCTGTCAGATTTTATTGTATCAGAAAGGGGAATTGATAGACCGGCTGAGAGGAGTGTACCTTCTATAAAAGGATGGTTAATGAGGGGCTTGAGAGTTGATCCACAGACAAGTGACATAACAATCAATGTTATAGTAAGTCGGGCAACTGAGGGTTTTTATTGGGAACTAATGCCAGTTCAAAACTCTCGAGTGTGGAGATGGTATTTGGAAAATGCATTGCAACGCGGGTGGCCTCTAGCTTTGGTTCCGTTTGTTCACCCGAAGGATCCAGGTGTGCAGACGAACATGGATGATGGCGAGGGACCAAGTGCTGAAGTAAACGAGACTTCTGTGGAGGAGGTCAACGCACGAGAGGACGGGGGCGTAGTAGCTCCAGTGGGCATTCAACCAGGTGGAGTGGCTGACGAGGGGGAGACTGTCGGTGCCATTGTGGATGAAATGGAGAGGAAGGATTCTGACAACGAGCGTGTAGAGGAAGGTGATTCGTCAGATGATGAGACGGATATTAATCCAGCAGAATGGGCTAGTGAGGATTTTTCTGGGCTGATCGTCTCTGAAGAGGATAGTGTGAGATGGGAGTACAAAGAAAATGAGGTTATTCAGGGAGCGATTTATAGTAGAGCAGAAGATATGAAGGAGGCGGTAAAACATTTTGCAGTGTCACTTCATAGAGAGTTTTGGGTTGCCAAGTCGAACCGGTCGCAATATGAAGTTCGGTGTGTTAAGGAAAAAGATTGTTGTCCCTGGAGAGTGCACGCGTATAAGGGGAAATGGAAGGATTATTGGACAGTGTCAGTTATTACCAAGCATACATGTTTTCTACCTGGTGTTCAGAAATACCACAGGAACATTACATGTGCATTTGTTGCATCTGAGATGTATGCGCATGTCATCGATAATCTCACATATGAACCAAGGTCAATAATCCGACACATTGAAGAGACATACAAGTATACTATTAGCTATGCCAAGGCCTGGAGGGCCAAACAGAAAATAATAGAGATGAGATTTGAAACTTACGAAGCCTCGTATGACAATTTGCCATGCCTGCTTGGTGTTATCGAGGAAAGAAACCGTAGGAGCTCTTACGAAGTGAAGAAATTCCCCTCAATTGAACATCCTGGCAAGAGTGTGCTGCAAAGGGCGTTCTTAGCTCTACATGTATGCAAGATGGCATTTGTGAACTGTCGTCCTGTTCTCTGCATTGATGGGACATTCTTGACAGGAAAGTATCAGGGCCAGATACTAACAGCAATAGGGGTAGATGGGAACAATCAGGTATTGCCCTTGGCATTTGCTTTTGTTGAGAGTGAGAATACCGACAGCTGGTACTGGTTCCTGAAATTGGTTAAAACAAAAGTTGTTGGTATGAGGCTAAATGTATGCCTGATACATGATAGGCACGCTGGCATTCTGCGAGCGATAGGAGAGTTGCAGTTTGGGAGTATGGAACGAGGATACCTCGGTGTTTGGGAAGATGTACAGAGTAGGTGGTGCATGCGTCATATGGGAGCTAATTTCTTTAAGCAATTCAAGAACAAGGAGCTCATGAACATGTTCAAGAGGCTGTGCAATCAGAACCAGGAGAAAAAATTCAATGCGCTTTGGAAGAGATTAGATGAGTTGACAGCCAAATGCAGTGATCAGCGTGCAGCGGCTCCATCGACCGCCGTTGCTGACCCTCCTCAAGCTCTTGGACCTCTCCCAACGGATAGTCCAACATTGGTTAGAAGAACTGGATTGGAGATTCGGAAATTTTCTCAGTGGATTCTGCATGAACCAAAAGAGAAATGGGCCAAGGCGTATGACACAGGTGGTGCTAGATATGGAATAATGACAACAAATTTGGCAGAAGTTTACAACTGGGTGATGCGCGGTGTCCGTGGACTGCCACTAGTTGGCATAGTGGAGTTCATTTTACATGGGACATGCAGGTAATTTAGGGATCGGTTCCAGGCAGTTCTTCCCTCTATGCCGAACAACAGCATTTTGTTTGGAGCTTTCATGCAGAAAAAGCTAGAGGAGTTGCGTAAAAAGGCCATGAAACATCGAGCTCTAGTGCAAGGTACCCAACAGCACAGGTTTGAGATACTATGTCAAGATAAGGCAGGCAGGGGTATCTACCGCAAGAGAGTGAAGCAGGAGTGTGTTCTCAAAGCCGACGGCACATGTCATTGCTCTTGTGCAAAGCCGAAGCTGCTCCACAGGGCATGCACCCATGTCATTGCTGCCGCAGCGGAGTGTGGCATACCAGATGTAGTATATGTGTCACAGTACTTCAGTAAGCAACAATATATCATACATGGAGCGGCGAGATTTATGGGTTCGGCATAGCTGGGGAGTTCACAGAGACTAACGATGAAGTACTCAATATTCCTGACCCATCGAAGCTCCGAGGCAAGGCTGGAAGGAGGAGGACTCATCGCATCCGCAACGATATGGACGAGTCGGAGGCTGGTAGGGTGAAGCGTTGCAGCAAATGCGATGAACATGGGCACACCTACAAGCATTGTCCTAAAGACAAGGAGAAACCAAGTGCGGCGGAGGCAGGACTATCAGGATCAGCAGCAGATGGAGCTCGCCCTACGGGTGAAGGCACTACCTCCACTCGACCACGTCCTAGGCGTCGTCGTGCCACGTCTGGCTACGTGGTGTAGTTCTTATGTTCTATGTCGGCATGTGGATTTGCTTGTAATTCGTTTCGAACTTATCGATGTGTTTATGTTTCGTCGTGTAATGTCAGACTTCGGCATGTCATGTCTTTAGGTCTCGTGATGTAACGTTGGACTAAGGCGCCTAACGTCTTTAGGTATGCTGATGTATGTCGGACTTCGATACGTAATGTTATGTTATATTATTGAACTCTACATATATGTTAAATTGCACGTCATCGTTATGTACCATTAGTAACGTTTGCTATATTTAAATAGCCTGTACTCTTGTTGTACATAATTAATCTCATGATTTTATTACTATTTCATAATTTTGCAAGTTATCTTTTGTTTTACAGTACTATTTTTTGAATTGTTCTAACACGAAACACTATATTTTTCAGAGATGGCACGTCAGGATACACCTCAGTTATTGGACCCGGCGATAGATCACCGACACCGGTCTCACCTTACTGCGGTGCAGGGGGCTCAGCTTGGGACGTTCCGGGCACGGACGTGCGGTGAGCTACTCATGGTTCACGACTCCTTTGTCGAGAGGTACGAACAGTGTTTTACTATAAGTTAGTTGCACTGTAATATTTTTTATAATGACATATTAATTTGTTATTGCAGGCTACGTGAGGCCGGCCTCCTACCGATGTGTCGGCTGGTGGAGGCTGCGGCCGGTGACGCGGACCCGGCCAGACGATGGTCTGTGGACAGGTCCCTCCTAGCAGCTTTGGTCGATCGATGGAGGCCAGAGACGCACACTTTTCACTTGCCGTGCGGTGAGGTAGCCCCTACCCTACAGGACGTATCGTACTTGTTGGGGCTACCGCTCGCGGGAGACGCTGTTGGGCCAGTGACCACGGCTGTGGACTGGCAGGACGATCTGACGGCACGTTTCGCACTAGTACAGCGCGCACCGCACCTCCCACTCGAGCCGTTGGCACACTACCGCAACACCGGACCTACGAAGAGGTGGCTGCTTCAGTTCACCGTGAGTGTTTTTTACCGAAATGACAATCGTATTACATATTTAGTCCGTAGTTAAGGTGCCTATCATTTTATCGACGGCTTGTAGGTTGAGCAGCTACAGGCGGAGGCCGACGAGTACTCCTACAGCCGATGTTTGGAGGCGTACTTGCTCTGGCTTTTTGGCTGGGTGATGTTCTGTGGCGGTCATGGGCACGCGGTCGACAAGGGACTCGTGCACTACGCCAGGAGCATCGCCGATGCTGCGGTAGGCGAGGTGCCTCAGTGGAGCTGGGGTTCCGCGTTGTTGGCAGCTCTGTACCGTGCACTTTGTGAGTCTTGCACGAAGACGGATCCCAGCGCGACCTTTGGTAGGTGCCCTCTCTTTCTTTCTATCTGGGCAGCTGAGAGGATTGCGATCGGCCGCCCTGAGGTGGACCAGCACGCATACGAGGAGTCACTGTACGAGGAGCGACCAGAGGTCGACTACCCTACGATGGGTACTCT